CACCCCACAAAAAGAATTTTAAATATGTAAGGATTCAAAGCACCATGAGAGAGAATCAGCAAGAACAAAAATCAAAAGGTTTGTTGATTTTTTTTTAAGGACTTCAGAGTTTGGAATAATCATATGAAGGATCTAAAGGTGCTTCTGTGAACTGTTTAAAGAAATAAAAGATGGAATAGAAAAAAGTAAGCAAGGAATAAGTGATTATAAAAAATGCCCAGATAGATTTAGAAAAAAAAAAATAGAATATCAAGAGAGAAAAAAAGTATGTAACGTTTAAGTTGAAATTGCAACGCTTGGTTAAATAGAAAACACAGCTGAGGGGCTCCTGGGTGTCTCAGTCCATCGAGCATCTGACTCTCAATGTGGGTTCAGGTCATGATCTCATGGTTTGATTGAGTGTAAGATCCAGCCCTGCATCGGGCTCTGTGCTGACAGCATGGAGCCTGCTTGGGATTCTCTGTAGGGTGGGGAGGGAAGGGGGAGTTACCATTTAATGAGTACAGAGTTTTAGCTTGGGAAGATGAAAAAGTTCTGGAGACGGTGATGGTGGCACAACAATGTGAATATACTTAATGCCATTGAACTGTACACTTGAAAATTATTAAAGTGGCAGATTTTATGTTATGTGTGTTTTACCACAACAAAGACCTGCTAAGATTATGATTCCATGTTTTAGATAGAGAGATGTGAAGGTTTATGTTAATAAACATTTAGTTATTTGATTTGAACATTAAATTTTACTGGGGAAAAAGAAAAATAAATATTTATATATAATATATATTTAGAGGGGCTCCTGGGTGGCTCAGTTTGTTAAGTGTCTGACTTCAGCTCAGGTCATGATCTCACAGTTTGAGAGTTCAAGCCCCTAGTGTTCAAGTCCACTTCTTATCCTCTGTCCCCCTTTCTCCCTGCCCTTCCCCTTCTTGCGCTTTCCCTCTCTCTCTCAAAAATAAATAAACACTAAAAAATATTTAATGTAGGGGTGCCTGGGTGGCTCAGTGGGCTAGGCATTTAACTTCTGCTCAGGTCGTGACCTCACAGTTCGTGGGTTCGAGCCCCGTGTTGGGCTCTGTGTTAACAGTTCAGAGCTTGGAGCCTGCTTCAGATTCTGTGTCTCCCTCTCTCTCTGGCCCTCCCCTGGTCACACTCTGTCTCTCTCTTTCTCTCTCAGAAATGGATAAAAAATTTTTTAAATTAAAAAAATATTTAATGTATATTTAGAAAACTGAAATATGTATACATTTTATATATTATAATATATAATACATATTTAGAAAAATACCTAAATGGACAAATAAAAAATTAATTTAAGTTATGGCTGGTAAGTTTACAGGTGATTTTTATTTTCTTATGTCTTATATTTGTATTTTTGGGGGGCACCTGGGTGGCTGAGTCGGTGTTAGGCATCTGACTTTGGCTCAGGTCATAATCTCACAGTTTGTGGGTTCGAGCCCCATTCAGGCTCTGTGCTCTCAGGGCAGCCTGCTTCGGATCCTCTGTCTCTCTCTCTCTCTCTGCCCCTCCTTCGTTCACGCACTTTTTCTCTCCCCAAAATAAACATTTATATTTGTGTTATTTATCTGTATTTCCTAATTTTCCTAAAATGAATTCCCAGATACTACATTTCGGTCTCTTTTCCCCTCAGGACATCAACCAGAGGTGCGGAGACTTCCCTCTGCCACCTGCCTCCTACCCTAACCCGGAAATCTACTCAGCGAGCAGCTCGCTCTTGGTTTCTTGAAGCTATTTTTTTTTTTTTAATATCTTTCTTTTTTTTAAATTTTTTTAATGTTTATTCATTTTTTTGAGAGACAGAGCCCGAGCGGGGGAGGGGCAGAGAGAGAAGGAGACACAGAATCTGAAGCAGGCTCCAGGCTCTGAGCTGTCAGCACAGAGCACCATGCAGGGCTCCAACTCACGGACCAGATCATGAGCTCATGACCTGAGCCGAAGTCGGACACTTAACCGACTGAGCCACCCAAGCGCCCCTCTTGAATCTTGGATAGCTGGTTGAAGTTAGCCCTTGGCAGACCAATGATGAGCAGGATTTTGACAGACGTAAACCTGGGGAGAGCGGATTCCAGTCAGAGAGGATGTTGTGAGCAAAGGTGCAAAGTCATCAATGATGATAAAAGCTGATCTTTTTTACACTTGATAGTACACAAAGCACTCACTGAAAGTCACCGCAATTCTGTGAGGTTCGACGTATTGTCAAGCTCTGCAGATGAAAGAAATTAAAAGGCTTCCTTTTTTGTCTGAATGTGAAAAACAAACATAAAGGGATCAGAAACCTTTTTACAGTGACAGTGCAGACCAGTCTCCCAGACACAAAGCTGCTCCAGCTCCTGGTTGGGGGGAGGGGACCCTTATCTTGGCTCCCAGCTGCTGAAAAACAAACCTTTACGGCAGGGTAAGCGTGAACTATGGGCAACTGAACTTTTGGGGACTGGGCTGCACTCAGCTTGGAAAGGTCACAAGCAAACCCCAGGGTTTGAGCGGAGTTACGGGGAAAGTGTTCCACTTGGAAAGGGTCGTGATATTGTGATTTATAATAAGAAATATATTAAAATACATTCGACCCCATTCCTGGAACAGAGCTCCTAAAACCTTGGAATTTCCTGTGAGGAAAGCGGAAAAGGTGCCTTTTGTTATGTTAATGAGGTGACCTTCGGAAAGCCCTGAGATAACCTAAGGAGGGGAGCTAGTTGCCAACCTGTAATTGAAGGATTGATTGAAACTTCCAGTCCCGCCCCTGACCTCTGTGGGAGGGGAGATGAGCTGGAGGTTGAATCAATTACCAGCTCCTGTTTAATTCAGTCATGACTCTGTAATGAAGCCCCATAAAACCTAAAAGGTTGGAGTTTGGAGAGCTTCTGCGTTGGGGAACAGGAGGTGCTGGGATAGTGGTGCTCTCACAGCACACGGAGGTTCTGTGCCCTTTTCCACATAACCTGCCCTATGTATCTCTTCTATCTGGCTGTTCTTGAGTTATATCCTTTATAATAAACCAGTAATCTGGGGGCGCCTGGGTGGCTCAGTCAGTTGACCATCTGACTCTGGATTTCAGCTCAAGTCATAATCCCAGGGTTGTGGAATCAAGCCCCATGTCGGGCTCTGCGCAGAGCATGGAGCCTTCTTAAAATTCTCTCTCCTTCTTCCCCTCTCCCCTGTTCGAGTGTGTGTACTCTTGAGTGGTCTCTCTCTTTAAAAAAACAAACAGCAAAATAAACACGGTAATCTAGTAAGTAACCTGCTTCTCCATGCTCTGTGAACTGCTCAAGCAAATTAATTGAACCCAAGGTAGGGTGCACGGGAACCTCCAATCTATAGCTAGTCAGAAACACAAATGACAACCTGGATTTGTAATTGGTGTCTTGAAGGGTGTGTGTGGTGTGTCAGTCTTTTGGGACTGAGCCCGTAACCTGCGAGATCTGATACTGTCTCCAGGTAGATAGTGTCAGAATTGGGTTGAGTTGTAAGACACACTGTTGGTGTCCAAGAATTTCTTGGTGGTGTGGGAACCTCATCTTGCTACACGCATGGTGGAAATGGGTCCAGAACTTTAGGATCCCACCTGCTGTGGCCCCAGCTTCCCTCTACCCTTGGGGTTCTTGTTTTGGGAGCCCCTTCCAGTGCCCAGGATGCGCTCTTCTTCTCTTTTAGCATTCCAAGCAGGTCAAAAGCCCCTTGTAACTTGTTTTTCCTTAGCAAAGCTGAAAGAATGATGATTTCACAAAGAGCCATGCTGCCCCTAGGGCCATCTGCCCCAGCAAAATGGAATACCTGCTCATTTGTCATCTGTTTCTACTAGAGGGCATGGAATGGTGTCCCCTTGGCAGAATGTAAGTTGCTGTTCTGCACCCTCAAGGCAGGGGAGCCTTGGAAGGCAACTTCTTTTTATTCTTTCTACCTTAGTGAGATGGGGTGAAAAAGATTTTGAGCAGCCATCAATGATAAGTATCCGCCCACATGCAACAATCATAACGCACCCCGATCAGTGTGGAGTACTTCTTTGCTTACCGTGTCTAGTTAATGCTTAAGATCTAATTTTGATACTCTCCCAGCCCCCCTCATCCCAGGCAGGGCAGGGGGGCAGGCCACTGCTTCAAATTGCTTCTCTAGCTGGATGTTCTCCTTGTTTGTTTGTTCCTTTGTTTGTTTATTATGGGGAAATTGAGTATAGCCTAATGGTCAACAGTACAGGCTCTGAGGTCAGACTATGTGGGATTGAATTCTGGCTCTGAAAGTTACTGTTTGACATTCAGTGAGTTGCTCAATGTCTCTGAGCTTCAGTTAATTATAGTACTTACTGGATAGGATTGGCTGTGAGGATGAAGTGAAATAGGCATGAGAGAACACCACACATTTCCAAGCACATTATTATGTGCTTCATTAGTGATAGGCATTAGTGCAATAAACATTATTGTGTTTCCAACCTGAGGAACATTTCCAGTTCACAAGGTATTTGTAGAGCAGAGAAAAAAACGATTTAACTCATGCTCAGTGAAATAACTTTTCCTTCTTCGGGTAAATTCCCAGCCCCACCCTTTCCTCCCAGGGCCCCTTTAATGACTGACTCACCCTTCAGGTATTCTCTCTTCTGCCCAGACAAATGTCCTGAGGGAGTGATTGAGGAAGTCAGTTGTGTCCAGGCCTGTAGTCTTGGGGAGAGAGGACTTTAATCCTGGGTTTCTAGTTTCTGGTACTTGAGTTGTCTGCCTGGCACAGAGGTGCTCAACGAGGTTGAAAATCTCACATTGTTGACCTGAGGATGGGCTTTGGGCCTGAGGCAGCTACTTTTGGTGCCCCATGCCACATGTCTTCAGGCCACCTTTGATTTGAGCTAAGGTTGTATGGATGGTTCCATGACCCTGCCAGTGCCTCAAGCAAGAGGTACTCTCTGTTTGCCTCTGTCAGTTGACAGAAGTCAAGGAGAGGAGAGGGGAGGAACTAGGAGAGGAACTAATGCTGAGGGCAGAGGTCATGCAGTAGAGGACATGGGCCAGTGCCCCGGCCTCCTGTCCTTGGGAGGGTCAATCCTGAGGTGCGTGTGTTCTACAGTTCTGCAGAGGGTCTCTGGCTGGACTGAGCTACATATCAGTAGCTAGAACAATATGTACCTTTCTCCTCTGACTCACATTTTCTGCTCCTTCCCTCCTGATCCCTGGGACCACCCTCCAGGAAGTCTCCGGTTCTGTCCTCAGGCATTGTTTTCAAGAGAACACAATCCAAGCCCTCTGCCCTGTTTCCTCCCCATTGTTTCTCTTCTGATTGTCTTTGAGACTAGGATCCCTCCCTGTCTGTAAGGAAAGAGGAAAGAAGGGGAAAGAAAGGGAACAGAAGGAATCTATTTACCTCAGAGATAAGGCCTAGTTGTATTCTGGCACCTGGGATGTGCTAGGGATTCTCTGTCATCTCCCTCAGATTTAGGCAACAACCTGTGAGGCAGATTATTATTAGACCCATTTTATGGATGAAGAAGCTGAGGAGGCTGTGAGAATTTAAATAACCATCCTAAGGTCATACAACAACTTTATGGCTGTTAAACCCAGATTTGTGCTCTTTTAGCTACTTGCCTTATTGAGGGAGGTCCTTTGATAGAATCTGGAAGCAGAACTTTGAATCAAGTGAGACTATTAGTATATATATATATATATATATATATATATACACATATATATGTACATATATATGTATATATGTATATTATGTGTATATATACACATATATGTGTATATATACATATATGTATATATGTGTGTATATATACATATATGTATATGTGTATATACATATATATGCATATATGTATATGTATATATACATATATATACATATATGTATATATGTGTATATACATATATATGTGTATATATATATACATATATACATATATATGTGTGTGTGTCTATATATATATATACTTTTTTTTTTTTAGTAGCAGAGCTTGAACTCAAAATCCGAGTTCAAGACCTGAGCTGAGATCAAGAGTTGGATGCTTAACCGACTGAGCCACCCAGGTGCCCAGAGACTATTAGTGTTTTTAAATTAAATATTTTAACAGCTTTATCAATGTAGAATTGACATTCAATAAACTGTACTTATTTAAGGTGTACAATGTGATGAATTTTGACATATGTATATGCCCATGAATCCATCCCCATAATTAGGATGGTGAACGTATTTATCACACCACAAAGTTCCTTTTCAATTTTTTCATTCCACTCTTCTATGCCATTCCCTATTTCCTGGCAACCACTCATCTCCTTTCTGTCACATTAGTTTGGTGTGCATTTTCTATCTATCTATCTATCTATCTATCTATCTATCTATCTATCTATCTATCCAAGCTCTATGCCCAACATGGGTCTTGAACTCACAACCCCAAGATCAAGAGCTGCATGCTCTACCTACTGAGCCAGCAAGTCACCCTGCATTTTCTATTTTATATAAGTGGATCACATAATTTGCATTCATTTTTGTCTGGCTTTTCACTCAATGTGATTATTTTGAGATTCACCCATATTGTTGGGTGTACCAGTGGTTCATTCTTTTTTATTGCTTTGTAGTATTCCATTGTACCACAATTTCTTCATCCATCCACCTGTTCCTGGACAAAATTTCTGGCTATTACAAATAAAACCTCTATGAATATTAATGTAACAAGTCTTTGTATGGGTATATACTTTCACTTCTCTTGGATAAATACCCAGAAGTGGAATGACTCAGTCATATGGTAGTATACATTTAACTTCTGAAGAAATTGATAAATGGTTTTCCAGAGTGGTTGTACTGTTTTACATTCCCACTAGCAATGTGAGACTCCAGTTCTTCTGTATCTTTTCCAGCATTTGGTATATTGAAGTCTTTTTTGTTTCTTTCTCTTTTTTTTTTTTTTAAGTAGGTCACGCCCAGCGAGGAGCCCAATGCTGGGCTTGAACTAACAACCTTGAGATCAAGATCTGAGCTGAGATCAAGAGTCAGATGCCTAACCGACTGAGCTACCCAGCCATTTGGCTATATTGAAGCATTAAAACATTTTTTAAATGTTTATTTATTTATTTATTTATTTTTAATTAAAAAAAATTTTTTT